CCAGGCAATGGTAGCATTTGGACTTTTCTTTAAAAATATTTTTTTGATTGGGGGCAACAGAATGGTATTTGTAGCATTTTTTTTTTTAAACACACAGTAGATGCCATGTTCTCACTAAGCTGTTCCAAGTGGCCCAGCATGCAAGAACATGTTTTTGGTGTCTGCCTTCCCCGCCGTCCCAGTAAGACAACTATTAACATGTATTAAACTCTATATTTTAAAAGATGTAGGCATCTTTTCATCAACCAGGAAATTTACTCAGGCTCGGTCACTTCTAGAAGCAATTGCTGTTCTGGTTTTATAGTTTTTTTTCTCCCCTGCAGAACTTCACATACATAGAATCACATATTATACACTCTTGCAACTGACTTTCTTCACTGAGTGTAGACTTTGGGGATTCATTCATGTTTCTGCATGTACGAGTGGTTTGTTTCTCTTCATTAGTTAGTTGCATACTACTGTCTGAGTACATCACAGTTTATTTTTCTGCTCTATTGATGGGCACCTGGGTTGTTTCCAGTTTGGGGCTATTATGAATAAAGCTGCTATAAGCTTCCTTACACAAGAGTTTTTGTGGGCGAATGTTTTCATTTATTTTGTATAAACACTAGAATTGGTATTACTGACTCATACGACAGATGTGTGCTTAACTCTTTAAGAAACTGCTAGATTGCCAAAGTTTGCATTCTCACCAGCACAGGTGAAAGTTCTGTCTCCTTTATATTCTTGCTAACATTGGGTGGGTATCAGTCATTTAAACTTTAAACATATGAATGAGTTTCCAGTAGCATATTATTTCAGTTTAATTTGCATTTCTCTTAACAACTAAAGATCTTGGGCTTTTAAAACTTATTGGACATTAATGTACTTTTTGTGAAGTTTCTGTTCATATTTTATTTTTAAAGTTTTGATGAGTGGGACCTCATAAAACTAAAGCACTTCTGTACAGTTAAGGAAACAATCAATTGTAGTTGGAGTTTTCCTGTGTCCACCTGGCTCCCGCAGTCACTCAGACACAAGTAAATACACAGAGACTTATATTACTTATAAACTGTATGGCCATGGCAAGCTTCTTGTGATCTAGTTCTTATATCTTAAATTAACCCATTTCTATTAATCGTTAAGTTGCCATGTGGCTTGTGGCTTACCGGTACTTTACATCTTACTTCTCATGGCAGCAGTGGCTGGCAGCGTCTCCTGACTCAGCCTTCCACTTCCCAGAATTCTCCTCTCTGCTTGTCCCACCTATACTATACTTCCTGCCTGACTACTGGCTGATCATCATTTTATTTATCAATCAATCAGAGCAACACATTCACAGCATACAGAAAGGCATCACCAGCAATCAATTGAGTAAGGAGAGAAGCTTTGCCAGCTATACGTCTGACAGAAGATTAATAGCCACAATATATAAAGAACTCGAAAAACAAAGAATCAAGAAAATAAATGATCTAATGTAAAAAAAAATGGGCTATGGATCTGAACAGGGAGTTCTCCAAAGAAGAAATAAAAATGGCTAAGAAATATCTCAAAAATGTTCACCATCCTTAGCAACTAGGGAAGTGTCAATTAAAACAATTTTGACAACAAATGCTGGTGAGGATGTGGGGAAAGAGAGCCCTCATTCATTTTTGTTGGGAATGCACACTGGTGCAGCCATTCTGGAAATCAGTGTGGAAATTGCTCAAAATGTTAAAAATAAATCTGCCATATGATCCAGCTATGCTTGGACTTGACATCCTATATCAAAAATATGTCTCAGCAATGTTTATTGCTGCTATATTCACAATAGTTAGCTAGCTAGCTAAATGTTCTTCAACAGATTAATGGGGAATGAAAGTATAGTACATATTGCACAATGGGATTCTATTCAGCTATAAAAAATAAAATCACGAAATTTGCAGGTACATGGATGGAAGAAAACACTATACTTGAGTGAGATAACCCAGACCTAGAAAGACAAATTCATGTTCTCTCTATCCATGATTCCTAGCTACAAATCTTCAGATGTGAACATGTAGCCTAAAATAACCAAAGAAACCAGGAACACAGGAAGGTTATCATTGAGGGTGCATGATAGAGGGCATAGAAAGGTAGAGGTGACAGGAAGGGAGAAATGGGGAAAACCATGGGAAGGTCTTTAACTGAGAATGGGGAAGGGTGGTCAATGTAGAGGAAAGGACAGTGGAAGGGAATAAATAACACTAAGGATGTTTGAAAAATCCATAAGGAATCATTTTATATTTACCTAAAATTGCATATAATACGTATAATTGTATGTGTATCCAAACATATATAGTTTAAGTGAAGTTAAGCCAATTGGGGTGATAATGCTTTCTCCAAGATGCATAGACCATCTAACAAAAAACTCAGTGCCAGGCATAAGAAGCCTCCTTTCTAGTTGTTGTTCAGGGGAATCCAAGAGACTCCCAAAATAATATAGGCTCTTGCTGATGCTCTTAGGACAATACAGGCTATTGCTATTGCTCTTGGTCGCCTCCCAGAAGTTGAACTTAAATCCTCATTGTTGAAGACACCACATACTTTGGACATAGGAATTGGAAGAATTGAGCTGGATCTGACCTGAGAGTTTCCTCCCCGAGGACTAGCTTTCATAGTGCCGGAAGATGTTGTACAAGCTGTCAAGGCTGTGTTCATATATTTATGTGTTTGCATATATGTAACAATAATAATCAAAGAAAAAGAGGCCAATGATCTCTCTCTCTCTCTCTCTCTCTCTCTCTCTCTCTCTCTCTCTCTCTCTCTCTCTCTCTCTCTCTATTTGCTATTGCTCCCTGTTGAAATTCCTGGCCACTGCACCCAGCTACATGAGCGCACATGCACAGTTCAGTAGTCAAGTAAGGGGCCTGGCATCCAACATAATCTGCGCACTGTGTGATTGCATAATTTGCATGCAGCGTGATCACACAATCTATGTGCATGCGTGACATAGCTCTGTAAGCCCATATGCGCATGTGCAGGGGAATCCATAAGAAGCGGGACACAGACCCCTTCCCCCTTCTTCTTCTCCTTCTCCTCCCCACCTTCTCTCTCTGCACGTGTCTTCCAGGGGCCTGGTCATGCTCTCTTCTGTCCCTTTCTTCTCCTAATAAAGCTCTGACAGTGAGTTTTGTCGTGCCTTGTGGCCTTTTTCCCACAGTAACAACACCACTTAATGAATAACGCAGCGCTGCCACATTAAAACCAACACTCCCTTGACACACATCCTATCCCTCCAGAATGCTTATTGGTCACACCAGGACAATAATCATTTGGGACGATTGTTTCTCTTATCTCAAGGATTCTCCTTAACAATAGTTTTTCATACTTATAATCAGAATTTTATTTGCTAAGACTGAAGCGCAGTTGGCCATTTTGTGAAACACTCACATCACACATTCCTCTTATCACCTAGAATATTTCATGTAAGAACAATCAAGATCTAGGCCATGTTATTCTATCCAAGTTCCTTGAAGATTCAGCAGAAATTCCGTTCTTTGATTATTTTATTTTAAAAATCAATTGTTTTTATATGTGTGAGTGTTTTGACTGTGTGTATATCTGTGCACCACATGCATGGAGTACCCATAGAGTTCAGATGATGACTTCAGACTCCCTGGGATTGGAGTTCCAGATAGTTGTGAGCCACTGTGTAGGTGCTGGGAACTTGACCCAGGTCTTCTGGAAGAGCAACCAGTGCTTTTAACTGCTGAGCTATCTCTCCAGCCTCTAGCAGATATTTCAAAGAGTAATTTGGATTCTGTTTCAAAGTTAAAATTTGAAATAATCCTGAATATAGATAATGTAATTATATGTAGAGTACCTTGCAGATAGTCTTATAAAATATATGTAGATAAATATTTTAAAACTAAATTGTAAATGTGAACTTCAAAATGAGTAATCTTTGAAACATGGGTTGAGAAAGAACAAGAAAAAAGGAACAGAAAAGAGAAAAAAGTATTTCTAGACAGTAAATAGATCTTTTGGAATGAAAATAACTGTCTGATCCCATCTGATTAGCTTAGGCTCCTTACATCTTCCACAGTGGTCACCTGAACACTCAGAAATCCACTTAGCGGGGGAGACTTTGCAGGCCTGTCCTGATGCTGATGCAGCTGTGACTTTCCTGATTGCGGCTGCAGCGTGGTTCTTCCTTGCTCTTCACCCTTCTTCCTGACGCCTACCATGATTGACAGTGTTCCTCTACTACCTGACTTCTCATTCCCCCAATTCCCATCCTGCATACCACATCGCTTTCTCCCACTTGACTATACACTTTGTGAGGGAACCAGCCATGGCCGTGTGAGCAGGCGGTAGCATGGTCCTGACAAGCAAGGGATTCCAGTCAACAGAGACAAACCTCTATTTCTTCCCTCCATTATCTCTTGGAATTTAAATCACACCTTGTAAATTTTTATTGTGTCTGGGCCAGGTTGGGGACAGAGACTGCTTTATTCAAACCTAGTACTTTAGTGTCTAGCACAGCCCTTCATGAAAGTGATTATTACATGGTTTTCTTGTTTTATGATAGTGATTGAGGGATGGAAAACAGTTCAAGATTATGTATATAAATAATTTAAAGAGGTACTTTTAAAAGCAGAATGAAATGGAGAGATGAACAATTTATTTCTTTAAAATCTTTTTTCGTTGTATACATTCATGGTACTGTTTTGTATAAGGACATTCATACAAGCATGTAAGCTGAACATATTCCACCCACACCTACCCCTTTGTCACCTCCATCCTTAGTAACTTTTAATCCCTGAGACAGTTTTTTATTCTACTTTCATCTCATTTGTACATACATGGCTTTATGTATTTATATAAAATTTAAAAACTACATGTGAGAGAAAGAAATATTTGTATTTCTAAGATGGACTGGCTCAATTTGCTTAATACGAATGATCCCTGGTTGCATTCCTTTCCTTAAAGGGACATAACTTTATTCTTTGTGGCTGAACAATCTTCCCTTGTGAATACAGCACGTTCTCTCTATCCAGGCCTCTGTTGCTGGACGCTTAGGTTGGTTCCATAATTTAACTGCTGCGAACGGTGCTGTGATAACATTGGTGCAGAAGCAGCTCTGTGGCATGCTCACGGGGAGCTCAGGAGTGGGTAAGTGGCTTAGCTGGTGAGGTGCCTGTTGTGCCAGTATGAGGACCTGAGTTCTCAACCCCAGAACGCACATGAAAAGCCAGGGGTGGTGGCCCACATCTGTGTCTACAATGCTGGGGGTGAGGGGTGGAGAGAGGTGCAACCCGGAAGCTCTTTAGCTCTCCAGTGCAGCTGAATAGAAGCACATCAGGTTCAGGAAGAGAATCTATCTCAAAAATTTTTTTTAAAAGATGGAGAATAATTGAAGAAATACACTGCCACTCTCTGGCTTCTACAGGCATGCACACACCCATGTGCATTCACCCCATATGTCCACATATAGCCATACCAAATAGTACACACCAGATATAGACACACAATGTACGTGCAAATAAAACACTTTTAAGTGGAAAGATGAAGGAAAAAATAGCAGAGATCCACCTTTCTCTGCCACCTAAGTGTTGGGATTAAAAGCATGTGCCACTATGCCTGGCTATAAATAAATAAACCTTATGAAAGAGCTCTTTTTCCTTGATGATCCTAGTATCTTTGATCATAAGAAGATAATGAGCTAACAATTTTAAAATCTCATTTTATGTAGCCAACCTGTTTCTGATACTGTTTCTTCCCTACAGATTTGTTTATTGTCGTTTATCCAGCCTGTCTCGAAGATGAATGGAGTGGATCTAAAATGAGAAATTTCCCTGGAAATAGAGGAATTTGAGGACATCTGTGCAGACAACCATCAGGCTAGCTATATGTTCTTTGTTCAAATCAGTCTTCATTTGGAGATCACATATCTTCCCCCTCCTCTGCCTTACTCTCCAGGAGCCCTATAAAGTTCAAGAGTACTACCCTGGGGCTAGGGCTGCTCAGTGGTAGAGTGCTTACTTAGCTAATGCTAATGATGCCTTGGGGTTCCCAGGAGCAATTAGTAATTAGCTGTCCTTACAGATGGCCTTTGCCTTATCTCTAATGTTAACCTTTGATGGGTTGATTATCTTCAAGAAAGGTCTGGTGTCTGTCTGTCCAGATGCACACCTCACTGCACTAGTCCGGTATAAATGAAGCCTAATGGGCATATCCAGACTTCAGGCATGGAACTTGTTAGAAAACCCACAGCAAAGGATTAGCCTGTCAACATCCAACTCCCTCCTCCCCATAAGGTGAAGACATTCAAGCTAAAAGGAGGAAGTAGCAGCCTGTCCTTGTGATTGGAGGGGACTGGATATCCCAGTGTTGATGTGCAGTATCGCCTAATCTCTCACACTCTCTTGCCAGATCAGTTTCCAGGTTGGGAGTATGGCCAGCCCCTCTCTCTCACTGTGTGGGCTGAGATCCAAGCCCATGGTTTAGAGCCGTGAGCTGTCATCTCGTGGCAGGGTTTCCTGTGGCAATGCTCAGCACTGAGGAACTTGCTCTCTAACCTCTATTAATGCTGTATTAAGCACAAGGCTATATTGTTTTCTAGGCAGCCTCACAGAGGGCCCACTCCTTGTCTGGAGGAATAGCCTGGATGATGTCAGTATTGGGAAAATTGTTCTTCCATCCTAGGATATCTGGGATGGTAGTGGGCTGGTGCTGTTGGAAATAGTGTGGTAATGAAGAGCCATGCATTATTTCTTGTTAAGAATTTCCATTGTGAGAAACATACCCAATAGACTCCAGCATTTAAACACTGGTGTCATCGTTTACTTTCTATTGTTGTAATAAGGACCAGAGCCAAGAGCAACTTGAAAAGAAAAGGGATTATTTGGCTTATATGTCCTGAAACAGTCAACCATTGAGAGAAGCCACGGCAGAAATCCAAGGTGGATGGAAACCTGGATGCAAGAACTAAAGCAGAGATGAGTGAAAAATGCTTACTGACTTGCTCCCCATGGCTTGCTCAACTTACTTTCTTGTATCACCCAGGACCACTTGCCTAGGGGTGGTACTGCCCCCAGTGGGCGGTGCTCTCCCTTATCAAACATTAATCAAAAAATATCCCACCGGCTTCTCTAAAGGCTAACATGAAAGAGGCAATCCCTCAGTTGAGGATTTTTTTTTCTTCCCATATAACTATAGCTTGTATCAAGGTGACAATAAAACTAACCAGCGCACTTGGTTCCCAGTTGGTGGCCCTATTTGGGGACATTTAGGTGGTACAGACTTGTAAGAAGTATATCACTTGGGTTGGGCTTTTAAATTAAAAACCTTGTGCCACTTCTAGTTAACTCTTCTTTGTTTATTTGTTTGTTTGTTTATTATGTATACAGTATTCTGCCTGCACATATACCTGCAGGCCAGAAGAGGGCACCAGATCTCATTACCAATTGTTGTGAACCACCGTGTGGTTGCTGGGAATTGAACTCAGGACCTCTGGAAGAGCAGCCAGTGCTCTTAACCACTGAGCCATCTCTCCAGCCCATGTTAACTCTTCTTTGTGTTTCCATGTGAAGACATGAGCTCTCAGCTTCATGCTCTGGTCATGATGCTTATTGCTTGCTGTGAGGCTTCCTCACCATTATGGCCTCTCATTCCTCTGGAACCATAAGCCAAAATAAACTCTTTCTTCTATAAGTTGCCTGGGTGATGGTGTATTTCATTATAGCAACAAATTTAGAAGCTGGTATCAGGAGTGGGGTGTTGCTGTGAAGAACCTAACTATGTTGGTTTTGGAGGAATGAAGAACTTTTGAGTACAAAAGTGGTTGGATGCTGTAAACAGAGCTTAGTGGATCATTATAGTAGAAGACTGAAAGACAACAGTCTGAGAGCAGTGCAGATGGTGGAGGCCCAGCTCAAGAGATTTCACGGGGAACCAAGTTGCAACTGGGTTATAGTCCATTAATGTGATATATTAGCAAAGAATGTAGCTACTTTGTGTCCATGTCCTGAGAACTTCCCTGAGGCTAAATCAAAAAGCAGTAGATGAATTTCTTTGGCAGAGGAAATTTCAAGACAACATAACATTGAGTCATCTGTGGAGCGGTTGCTATTGATTAGGCTTATGCAGGTCTATAGTGAAAAATAGCAACTGGGACAGAAAGAAATACAAAGTCTCTGGGCTGGAGAGAAAAAGAGCACTAACAACTTAATACTTAGTGAAGTCACATGCTGCAAGAGCAGTTGTAAATTGTTAAGGGGGTTAGCAACCATCAAGGAGAGGCCTGGTTTGCGTGAGAACAAAGGGAAGGGTGCCCTCAGGGAAACCCCATTCATCTAAGCTTCCAGGTTGTGGAAAGAAATGGTCCAAGGAGTTTTCTCCTCCTAGAAAGCAATGGCAAAACAGAACTTGCTATTAATGAGGCTAAAGGAGGCATCTGTATACAATATATACTTTTTAGACAAGTTGTCTTAGGGTTTCTCTTGCTGTGAAGAGACACTATGACCACAGCATCTTTTATAAAGGAAAGCATTTAATTGGAGTTGGCTTAAAATTCAGAGGTTTAGTCCATTATTATCATGGTGGAAAGCATGATGACATGCAGGCCAACATGATGCTGGAGAGTAGCTGAGAGTTCTACATCTGGATCCATAGGCAGCAGGAAGAGAGAGTGAGCCACCAGGCCTGGCTTGAGCTTCTGAAACCTCAAAGCCCACCCCTAGTGACGCACTTTCTCCAACAAGGCCACACCTACTTCAATAAGGCCACATGTCCTAATCCTTTCAAATGATACCACTCCCTATGAGCCTATGGGGGCCATTTTCATTCAAACCACCGCACAAGTGAATGCTCAATTGTAAGTAGATGAACAAATTAATCAATGATTTAAAAGGATGGATGAAACTGCCTGTCATCCATAGGTATTTGAATATGTAGATACTGTCACAGGCAAATCACCTAGCTTTTCTGAGCCCCTGAAAAGTGGGGAGAATTGTATCATCAGGTCTGTAGTGCTATAAGAATGAGAAACTGCTAGTAGTCTATGGTGGAGTCATCCTTGTGGATTCCTGAGAGCCTCCCTAACACTCTGCTTTTCCCTGTTCCCATGGTGTCTTCGTTTATCATGGCATCTCTTTCCTTGCTCTCCCACACTGTTCCCATTCCAGCTCAAACCTCCCACTCCTCTAAACTCTCATCCCCTGTCCCTTGCCCTCCATTACCCCCCCTCACCCCCTGCTTGCTCATGGAGATCTCATCCATTTCTCCATCATTGGGCGATCCATGCACCCTTCTAGGGTCCTCCGTACTAGCTAGCCTCCCTGGAGCTATGGGTTGCAGTCTAGTTATCCTTTGCTTTATATTGAGTATACACTTTATGAGTAAGTACATACCATGTTTGTCCTTCTGAGTCTGGGTTACCTCACTCAGGATGATATTTTTTAGTTCCATCCATTTGCCTGCAAACCTCATGATGTCATTGTTTTTCTCTGCTGAGTAGTACTCCATTGTGTATATATACCACATTTTCTTTATCCATTCTTCAGTTGAGGGACATCTAGGTTGTTTTCAGGTTCTGGCTATTGCAAATAGTGCTGCCATGAACATAGTTGAGCATGTGTCCTTGTGGTATGATTGAGCATTCTTTGGGTATACGCCCAAGAATGGTATAGCTGAGTCTTGAGGAAGATTGATTCCCAATTTTCTGAGAAACTGCCATACAGAGAGGGTGCCTAAGCTGGCCTACCTGGTGATTGGATGGTTGAATACTCTAACTGTCATCATAGAACCTTCATCCAGTGACTGAAGGAAGCAGATGCAGAAATCCACGGCCGGGTCCCAGGCAGAGCTCCAAGAGTCCAATCAGTGAGAGGAGGGATTCTATGAGCAAGAGATACCGAGACCATGATTGGAAAACGTACAGAGACAACTAGCCAAACAAGTAGAAACGCATGAAGTGTGAACCAACAGCTGAGGAGCCCCCATGGTACTGGACTAGGCCCTCTGGATAAGTGAGACAGTTGTTTAGCTTGAACTGTATAAAGGGCCCCCAGGCAGTGGGACCGGGACCTGTCCCTAGTGCATGAGCTGGCTTTTTGGAACCCAGTGCCTATGGTGAGACACTTTGCACAGCCTCGGTGCAGGGAGGAGGGGCTTGGACCTGCCTCATCTGAATGTACCAGGCCCTGCTGACTGTCCATGGGAGACCTTGTCTTGGAGGAGGTGGGAATTGGGGCTGGATTTCGGGGGGGAGGCTGGGGGGCAGGAGGAGGGAGGACAGGGGAATCTGTGGTTGGTATAGAAAATGAATAGAAAATCTCTTAATAAAAAAAAGAATGAGAAACTGTGTGTGAAATTGTCCCTTAAACTGTAAAACCCTTTGCAGATGGTGGCTATCACTCCCCAGAGATTTGCTCAGCTGCATGTCGTTCCTTGGTGGTGTCATCAAGAGTTTGAGAGTCACAGGATCCTGGCTCTGCGCTCACCAAGTGTGACTCACTGAAGCAAAGGGGCAGCAAACCAGAGTTTAGGAAATCCCACAAGTGGTTCCTTTTACCAAGCAGGTTTGGCAGCAGGAGACAAGAAGTTGCTGCCCTGCTCATACTATCCTGTAGTTGTTGGGATATAGTTACCCTGTCATTGCGTCTCATCAACACCCTTTCTCACGAATCACACGACTCTGCCAAGATCACTAAGCAGGGAGAGGAAAGATGGTAACACCTCCCAGCCAGGTCGGTAGTGCTGACCACAGCCAGTGGGTGACAAACGCTGCTGCCAGCTTACTCTTTTCTCTCCTGAAGGCTTATGTCAATGTCAACACCAAGGACCTAGGCTCTGTGTTCCCTGAGTGAGAAACTGAAACCAAGATTTATGGCCGTAGCAAAAGATGAGTAGAAAGTCTTTAGAGAGGCTGGTCTTCTGAAAGAGGGATCCCCGTGGTAGCCCCTGAGAGATTACTGGCCTATTGTTGACAGGATTTCAGGGACCCAAGCAATGCTTTTAGAACTGCCTCCACCTTGAACTCAAATTTATCCCAAATCCAAAAGCAGCAATAGGCAAACAAAGGCAAAATCCCTCTGTAATGGGTTCATACAGGAGGCGACACCATTACAACTAGGCTCCGGAGCTCGCATCTTTACTAGCGTGTTAGAACTTCTGATAAAACAGTTTAAAAGCAGATTTACTTGGGCTTGTGCCCTCAGTCCATGATCCCTTGGATCCATTATTTCTGAGCCAATAAGAGGCAGAATATTAGGGCAGGGAGATTGTGGTAAAACAAAATAGACCATGTCATGGTGGGCTCCGAGGAAGAGACAGGAAGAGGGTGTATGAACTACTGTTCTGCTGCTGTGATAAAACACTGTGGCCAAGACAACTTAGAGAAGAAAGAGTTCAGTTAGGCTTACAGTTTTAGAGGAATAAGAGTCCGTTGTGGCGGGAAGGCATGGAGGAAGGAGCAGAGAGTGGAGGGCTCACATCTTCAAAGGCAAGCATAAAACAGACAGCAACTGGAAGTAGTGGGGTGGTATATATTCTCAAAGCTTCCTCCTTCTACACCAATGATGTACCTCCTCCAGCAAGGCCACACTAACTAAACCTCCCCAACTGGGACCAAGTGAGCTTATAAGGGACATTTCTCACTCAAACTACCACTTTCCACTCTCTGACCCCTATAGGTTTATAGTCATATCACAATATAAAATGAATTTATACCAACTTTAAAACTCTCTAGTCTTTCAGAGCCTCTCAACACTGGGTAGAGATCCCAAGTCCTAAGTCTCTTTTGAGACTTAAAAATAATCTCTTGGATGTAATCCTCTGTTAAATCAAAACGCAAATTTTACATACATCAAACATAAAATGGTACAGAATATACATTACCATCCCAAAGGGAGGAAAACAGGGCCAGAGTGAAAAAACGCTGGGCCAAAATATAATGAAAACCCGGCAAAGCAAACACACCAAATCCTGTAGCTCCAAGTCCAATGTCAAAGGGCTTAGTTGGCTTAGCTTTGCTGCCTATAACATCCGTGTCTTTTCCAGGCTAGTTCCATTCCCTGTACGTAACTCTCCTTGGCAAATGTCTTATGGCTCTGACATCTTCCAATAATGGAGTCTCCACTGCAACTCAGGCTTTACCTTCAGAACTTCCTACAACAGTCTTTTATGGTCTCTTTCCTCTTAGGGACTTCATGTAGGGACTCCTGTGTCACACATGAAGCCTCGCCTCAGTGGCTCCCTAAAACTGTAGAAAAGGTATTCACAGTCTTTACCCTCTTACATCCTTCATGCCTCTAAAGCAGTGTCTCTCAACCTTCCTAATGCTGCAACCCTTTAATACAGTTTTTCACGTTGTGGTGACCTCCAACCATAAAATTATTTTTATTGCTACTTTGTAACCATGATTTTGCTACTGTGATGAATCGTAATGTGTTTTCCCATGGTCTGAGGCGACCACTGTGAAAGGGTCAGTCAACCCCAAAGGGGTCACGACCCACAGGTTGAGAGCCATTGCTCTAAAGCCTGCACCATGTGGATGTCACTGCCAGGGCTGGCTGCCCGCTTGGGATGGAGTCAGCTTCCCTGAAATTCATTAGCAGCTGTTTTCTGCTGTGGGATAATGCTCT